TCCTCATTTTTTCCCCTCCCTCCCTGCTTCCCTCTCCTTCATGAACCCTTGATAATTTATAAATTACTATTTTGTCATATCTTTCCCTGTCTGATGTCTCCCTTCACCCACTTGCTGCTTCCCTTATCTAAAGTCCCATCATTTTTAAATGTACTTGCCATGCCATAAAATAAAAGTTAATGGGTTTTCAGTAGCCACCAATCAAGACCTTAACAATTTCCCTTTTCTCCTGAACTTAGGAACAAAGGCCAATGATTACCTGTTGGACATTCAGTTGCTTTAATACTGGAAACAGAGATTCATCTGTCTTAGTCTTGGTCCAGCCAAAATACCGCTGACAAAACATGCAAGTTGTTAAGGCTTATTAATGTTTTCTAAGGCATTTGAAGTAATAAATCAAAAGGTCCAAAGAACCCACCCTTGAGCCCTCATATTTCCCAAATATGTTCACATTATAAAGATTAAAGTGGTAAAAGAAGTGAATTAACAAAACAAATTATACCAATATACTCATCTGGCACTGTGTTCTTTTCAATATCCTCTAAGACAAAACATATCCTACTACCATTTTAAGACATCAAAGGCTCTTCAGAAAAGAAAACTGTAGCTAATTTCTTTGAGGATAAAAAACAGAACCAAAAGGACAAGAGTTCAATTAATTCTACTTTCAAACGTTTCAACATCCATCCAAATGCCACACTAGAAAGCACCCTAGTTCTCAGGACAAAATTAATCTTTTCTTTCTAATATTTACCTATGTGGTTATATCTATGAATGTGTATCACTGATTATTTCAATTTAAAAAATCGTCTTAAAAACTAGAGACAAAAAAAAGTACTAAAAGGGTAGTATTCTTCAGCCAATGGAATCTAAGGAGGAAAAACGAATCAGATCAGAGTCGATGTTCCTGAACTTTTATACTAAGACACACATTGAGCTCAATGCTCCTGCGTGTTTTAAGGAATAAAAGGATATTCTCGAATTTTCTCAAGATCAGGTTTCCCCCACAGAAAGGATCCCTTCGAGTCATCCACTGCGGGCTTCAGGTAAGCTTCTGCGACCGCCGGGTTAGGGAAGCCAGGTGTGAGCTGCAGGTTCCGTAACTTTTTCTTCACCTTCGTGTCATGAGGATTAGGTCTTATCTTCTTGTTTTTTTGAGCTTCATGCCACCACTCTCTACAAGGTGAAGAGGAAACAATGATTTATAGAGAAATAGAGACACTATAGTAGAAGACATACTGTAGAAAAAGAGCTACTGTTAAACGAAAAACAAATCTCAAAGCTGTTGCCCGAGAGCAGATCCAACTTGAACTCAAGTCCCAACTTCAAGACAAATGACATCATCTATAGTCATAGTATGACTTTAATGTTACTAATTATAATACTAAATGATGTTAAAATGTATCGACGCTTTTTACATATCACATTGCCACCATTAGTCTTACTGTTCACCTCACCTTACAGAAGACACTGAACCCCAAAAGAATTAAAATTAAATTTATTCAATTAAATCCCTTAAAACTTCACAGCTAGAACTGGTATTCAGAACCCTGACAATTTCCTCTAGAGACCACACTCCCGAAACATAAAAGTCACACAAAATCTCAGTCTCTTCCTCATCACCAAAACAAATACATCTTGTCTCGCTTGAGTGAAATATTGACTTAATAACAGACCAAAGAATATTTAATAAGATGCAAAAATGTCAAGAACATTTTAAATTTATAAAGTGTTGGACATAACTGTACATAAAATATTATTCCAATTTTGGAAACAAAATGTATGTATGTGGTAAAAAAGTAAATAGAAATATGTATAAGAAACAATTGTATTTTATTGTGCTAGACACTACTCTACATACTTTATCTGTTATCCTATTAATTTTCAAATCCCAAATATGTAAGTACTATTCACTTTTATCACTTTACAAATTAATAAACTGATACATAGCTATAAAAGATTTGAATGAAATATGTCTGTTAAATTGCATCTCCCTGAGTGTTGTGAGCTTAGCTATTCACTTTCTTCTTTATATTTTATCATCTTTTTAAAAGAAAATTATTTACATGACTATGGAAGGTTAGCCATGTTTGTGCATGGGCATCTTCGTGGATCCTGAGGCCCAGATGAACTGCTTCGACTGATAACATATGGAACTGAGTCAGGGCATTCTCTTAAGGAATGCCTTGTTGAGGCCTGATCAAATTATGAATTCGTAGGCAAGATAAATGACTGTTGCTGTTTTAAGCCAATGACATTTACGATAGTATATATCGCAATAATAAATAATTGGAACTGCATACAATTAGAAAAAATAGCATAAAAGTTAAAAACACAATACCATAATCATCATCAATCCATATATTCCATGAAACCTAAAAACAAAACAAAAAACTATAGCTCATATTCTACTGCTTTACATATCTATTAATGCTAGAAAGTGATTCCCGGCACTGATGCAGGGGTGCCATCTAGCAGTGAAGAAACATAACTGCAGTCTTCATCATACAGTATCTTGTGCCTCTGTTTTATAATATTATTTCCAAAAGTTTGCTGGGGTATACTTGTAACTACATACGGTTTTTCCATCTCTGAAATAATAATGATTATCATCCAATAGTGTCAGCGCACACACGCATGCGTGCACACATAGATCCTCCTTATAGAAAGAAAGCCAGGGACACCACATACATATGAAAGATGGCACTTGCCAACTAGCTTAGCTGTGGGAAGACAATAGAACTGTTAAAATGATGATGAAATTGAAGGACACGTGTCTTGAGTAAGGTGTTAGGGTGGAAGAGAGGGACTGCTGTTGAAGCCATCCCATCTATTTGGGGGACATTGGGGAATAGGGGTTCAGCAGTGCCAGATCTCCTTTTCTTCCAGGAGAATCTAACACTTTCTGTGAAATCTTCCTAAATTTACTGTAGCTCTTTCAAGATTAAGACTCTAGAGAAGAATGTATTAAATAAGCAAAACCAAACATTGAGGTTGAATTCCAGGCTGCAGGCTGGCCCCAATGTGCCTCTGCTTTAAAGGGTGACTTACTGGCCAGCCTGGTTAGGAAAAGCCGAAGCAGCAAAGAAAGCAAGCCAACATTCTCAATAGCGCTGTTCTGCTGCACTGTTTCCTCTTTTCCTCTGTTAAGTCGGGGACTAAAATTCCCCCAAGCCAACCAAACACAGAGACTGTGACTGACTCTAACATTTCAGCTGACTCAAAAAATATAAACAATGTGCAAAAACTGTTTAACAAAAGAAAACTACATAATGAGCATTTATTAAACTAGAGATACCATATAAATAAACATAAAAAATATTAACTCACTACTACTTAGGAAATCAAATTAAAAGGTTAAGATTGCACTTTCATTTATCCTAAAATCACAAATAGGCAAGGACTCCAAGATACACATATAAGGACACTCAAATAAATATGGTTATACTTTAAAAATGATATATATTTTTTAGTTAAGTAATCATTATACACCCAGACAATAGACAACTGTGGAGTCACTGTAAACAAAAATATAAATCGATAACAGTGCTGATAACATGCTTTGTTGCATCACCAAATGGGCTGCAGGCAATGTAAAAAGTCTACGTAGTATCTTCTCATTTTTGCTAAAGGTGGGCATATATGTTTCTGCATGTGTCCCCAACTTACAACAGGACTCCATTCCAGGAACTCCTTTATAAATTGCTTCTGATATAGGTTGAATACTTTTTGTTGTTGTTGTTTTTGTTATTATTATCTTTAATGCTGAACATCTTTAACTACTCAATTTGTTAATTTGAGTACTTACATAAATTTCTGACTTAAAATATTGTAAAGAACTTACGAAAATTTCACGAGAGGTTCTAGCCCATGTCCAGAGAATTCATTGAGAATTTCCATGGCTGTTACACAACCTACAGTTGGTATTCCTTCTGTATAATCACTTCCAAGCAAATATGCCAAATTTATTAATTTGTTCCGGTCCAATCCTGTAAAATCAACAAACAAACAAATATATATAATGTATAATTAAATATATACTTAAGTATAAATATATATACTTACAGTATATAAATATACATATATTTGTACACATGCATATCTCCCCATCCAACAATCTCTTTTACTATTTAAAGTAGAATCTTAAAAAAAAAAAAAGTGCTGTTAAGATTTCTTGGTTATGTGTTGGGCTGCCTGCTGCAAGGGCAATAGCTCTGAAACTACCAGCTGCTCTCTGGGAGAAAGAGGAGGTTCCTGCTCCCGTAAAGTTACAGTACTGGAAGCCAACAAGCGCAGTTCTGTGCTGTCTCATAGGGTCACTACGAGTCAGAATCCACTCTACCCCAACGATTTTTGGGTTTGGTTAAGATTTCTCTAAGTTTCGGTCAGTTCTATACCTTTAAATATTCACCGTCTCCCAAATGTAGATATTTGGCCTGGATCTCACTTCTGAACTGCAATCATGTATCTTCAACAAGATGTCCAATATGCATCTCAAATTTACCACGTCCAACCCTGAACAATTCATTTCTCTCCTACTCTGTGCCGCTCCCTCATCTTCTTTAATGGCACATCCACTCTACCCATTGTTTAGGACTTGGAATCATCTTTGACTTTTTTCTTTCCCTCACATCATCTAGCCAGTCCACCTGAAACGTCTTTCTCTAGCACACCAGACCCACTTTAGCCTCTTCGTCCTCTCTGACCTCAACTTCTGCCATTCTCATCTTCCTTCATTGCTTCCTGCACATTGGCCTCCACGCTCTCCTAGAATATACCAAGTAGACTTCTAGCCGGGCTTTGCATCCACTGGGACCTTTGTCTGACATGCTCTTTACTATTTCATTCAGGTCTCTGTTCAAAATTTGCCTACTAAAGTATCCTTTCCTGACTAGCACTCAATCTACAACAACACCTTTGTTCATGTCACTCTCTCTCCTATTTACTGCTTTCTTTTCTTAATATGACACATACCACCTAGAGTCACATTATTTCTATTTATACATGTATAGTATATATGTGACTTTTGTCATATTTAGCTTCTGATCACCTACTAGACTGTTTTATTCTTAGCTGTATCCTCATTGCCCAGAACAACAACATTAGAGTCATTCAATATGTTTGTTGAATGAATAAAAGAACAAATAATCAAGCTGAAAACACTGATATACAACCAGGAGGCTCATGACTCTAGTAGAAGTGACTCCCCTCTGCTTTCTTTGTCTACACTCTGGAGATCCCAAGTAGACAAACTTGGGATTTTAATTTCTTAATCCTAATTGAAATAATTCTATATAGACAGAAAGATCATTTACATAAAACTTTGTAGACACCTGTCGTTTCCATTATTTCATCTGAAAGAAATCTTTTAAACCATCAATGAGTTCTGAAGGGTGAATTTCAGAAAGTAATTATACTCTGACATCTTACCTAATTGGTTATGAAAATCCACATATTGGTAGTATTCTATGAACTTGTTTTTATTAAAGAAGTTTTTATAGACATGCCGTGCTCCAAACAGCCAAATGTCACTGTCGTCGGTGATGGTGCCAGAAGTTTGATCAGTCAGGTCGAGGATGGCGCACTGGGCCTCTGCTTCCATAGGGGCCTCAATGTAGGGGATGCCAAACAGGCGGAGAAGTTCCTGAAGAGTTAGACACCGTGACATGCACTGAAATGTATCAACTCATTTTTCAAAAGTAGGAACAATGCTTCATTTAATGCAGTCTCCCATGGAAGCTAAGCAAAATCACTGTTAAGGAAGCCTACCTGGCTTTCCAGGAACATCTGTCCTGTTACAGTGGCAGCAATCCGCTCTTGCTGCTGTTTTTGAGCTTTCAACGAGTTCTGCTGTTCTAAAAGGGTGCTCTCTAGAGTCGCCAGTTCTTCCTGTATAACAATTGCATTTGTAGATAAGCATACTGATAATCCAACGGCATTGCTTTGTTACCCAAACCCTGCATGTCATCTGTCATACGTTGCCAATTGCCAATCTGCCTTTTCTCCTTATGAGATAATTCCCGCCTGGATTTCTGAGCAAGGGTCTGTAATATCTTTAGCGTGCCCTCACTAAATCACAGGGGAGGTGGAGTCTTTCCCAGACAGTAACCTACAAACGAGCCATAAGCAGGAACAGGATGATGCATGCAACATCTAATAAATATTCATGCCTTAGAACTCAAAAGCACATAGCTTCCTTAGCAATTAAGTGAAAACAGTGTTATAATTACCAAATTAATATCTTGCCATTCGTTATGTGAATCATCTGCATCTTTTCCCGCTTCTTCATGTGGCTCAAGAACCACACTCGCCCTTTCAGAGTGCTCACCAGGGGCGGCTTGTTCCATCTTCGTTTCTGCCCGTCCCTCTGAAGCAATTGACTGCGCACTGCGTTCCGAGGGAGGTGTAGAACTGTCCGGTGATTCAGCTTGACTCTCACCATTACTAATTACACTCTCTACTTCAATGAAACTTCCTGTT